CAAGGTGTAGACACATAGACCAGGTCACCTCAAGGTGTGGACACATGGGACCACGTCACCAAAAGGTGAAGACACATAGACCAGGTCACCTCAAGGTGTGGACACATAGGACCAGGTCATCTCAAGGTGTGGACACATGGGACCACGTCACCAAAAGGTGAAGACACATAGACCAGGTCACCTCAAGGTGTGGACACATAGGACCAGGTCATCTCAAGGTGTGGACACATGGGACCACGTCACCTCAAGGTGAAGACACATAGACCACGTCACTTCAAGGTGAAGACACATAGACCAGGTCATCTCAAGGTGTGGACACATAGGACCAGGTTATCTCAAGGTGTAGACACATAGGACCAGGTCACCTCAAGGTGTAGACACATAGACCAGGTCACCTCAAGGTGTGGACACATAGGACCAGGTCACCTCAAGGTGTAGACACATGGGACCAGGTCATCTCAAGGTGTAGACACATAGGCCCAGGTCATCTCAAGGTGTAGACACATGGGACCAGGTCATCACAAGGTGTAGACACATAGGCCCAGGTCATCTCAAGGTGTGGACACATAGGCCCAGGTCATCTCCATGTGTGGACACATAGGACCAGGTCATCTCAAGGTGTAGACACATGGGACAAGGTCATCACAAGGTGTAGACACGTGGGACCACGTCACCTCAAGGTGTAGACACATAGACCAGGTCACCTCAAGGTGTGGACACATGGGACCAGGTCTACTCAAATTGTGGACACAGGGGACCAGGTCATATCAAGGTGTGGACACACAGACCAGGTCATATCAAGGTGTAGACACATGAGACCAGATCATATCAAGGTGTGGACACATGGGACCAGGTCATATTAAGGTGTGGACACATGGGACCACGTCACCTCAAGGTGTGGACACATAGACCAGGTCACCTCAAGGTGTGGACACACAGACCAGGTCACCTCAAGGTGTAGACACATAGGACCAGGTCATATCAAGGTGTGGACACATAGGACCAGGTCATATCAAGGTGTAGACACATAGGACCAGGTCATCTCAAGGTGTAGACACATGGGACCAGGTCATATCAAGGTGTGGACACACAGACCAGGTCATATCAAGGTGTAGACACATAGGACCAGGTCATCTCAAGGTGTAGACACATGGGACAAGGTCATCACAAGGTGTAGACACGTGGGACCACGTCACCTCAAGGTGTAGACACATAGACCAGGTCACCTCAAGGTGTGGACACATGGGACCAGGTCTACTCAAATTGTGGACACAGGGGACCAGGTCATATCAAGGTGTGGACACATAGGACCAGGTCATATCAAGGTGTAGACACATGAGACCAGATCATATCAAGGTGTGGACACATGGGACCAGGTCATATCAAGGTGTGGACACATGGGACCACGTCACCTCAAGGTGTGGACACATAGACCAGGTCACCTCAAGGTGTGGACACACAGACCAGGTCACCTCAAGGTGTAGACAAATAGGACCAGGTCATATCAAGGTGTGGACACATGGGACCAGGTCATATCAAGGTGTGGACACACAGACCAGGTCATATCAAGGTGTGGACACACAGACCAGGTCATATCAAGGTGTGGACACATGGGACCACGTCACCTCAAGGTGTGGACACATAGACCAGGTCACCTCAAGGTGTGGACACACAGACCAGGTCATATCAAGGTGTGGACACATAGGACCAGGTCATGCCAAGGTGTAGACACATGGGACCAGGTCATATCAAGGTGTGGACACACAGACCAGGTTATATCAAGGTGTAGACACATAGGACCAGGTCATCTCAAGGTGTAGACACATGGGACCAGGTCATATCAAGGTGTAGACACATAGGACCAGGTCATATCAAGGTGTAGACACATGGGACCAGGTCATATCAAGGTGTGGACACACAGACCAGGTTATATCAAGGTGTAGACACATAGGACCAGGTCATCTCAAGGTGTAGACACATGGGACCAGGTCATATCAAGGTGTAGACACATAGGACCAGGTCATCTCAAGGTGTAGACACATGGGACCAGGTCATATCAAGGTGTGGACACACAGACCAGGTCATATCAAGGTGTGGACACATAGGACCAGGTCATATCAAGGTGTGGACACACAGACCAGGTCATATCAAGGTGTGGACACACAGACCAGGTCATCTCAGGGTGTGGACACACAGACCAGGTCATATCAAGGTGTGGACACACAGACCAGGTCATCTCAAGGTGTGGACACACAGACCAGGTCATCTCAGGGTGTGGACACACAGACCAGGTCATATCAAGGTGTGGACACACAGACCAGGTCATATCAAGGTGTGGACACACAGACCAGGTCATCTCAGGGTGTGGACACATAGGACCAGGTCATATCAAGGTGTGGACACATAGGACCAGGTCATATCAAGGCTTGGACACATAGGACCAGGTCACATCAAGGCTTGGACACATAGGACCAGGTCACCTCAAGGTGTGGACACATAGGACCAGGTCATATCAAGGTGTGGACACACAGACCAGGTCACATCAAGGTTTGGGCACATGGGACCAGGTCATCTCAAGGTGTGGACACATAGGACCAGGTCATATCAAGGTGTGGACACATAGGACCAGGTCACATCAAGGTTTGGGCACATGGGACCAGGTCATCTCAAGGTGTGGACACATAGGACCAGGTCATATCAAGGTGTGGACACACAGACCAGGTCATATCAGGGTGTGGACACACAGACCAGGTCATCTCAAGGTGTGGACACACAGACCAGGTCATATCAAGGTGTGGACACACAGACCAGGTCAAATCAAGGTGTAGATACATGGGACCAGGTCATATCAAGGTGTGGACACACAGACCAGGTCATCTCAAGGTGTGGACACACAGACCAGGTCATCTCAAGGCGTGCACACATAGGGCCAGGTCATCTCATGGCGTGCACACATAGGGCCAGGTCATATCAAGGTTTGGACACATAGGACCAGGTCATCTCAAGGTGTGGACACATAGGGCCAGGTCATATCAAGGTGTGGACACATAGGGCCAGGTCATCTCATGGCGTGCACACATAGGGCCAGGTCATCTCATGGCGTGCACATATAGAGCCAGGTCATCTCAAGGTGTGGACACATAGAGCCAGGTCATCTCAAGGTGTGGACACATGGGGCCAGGTCATATCAAGGTGTGGACACATGGGACCAGGTCACCTCAAGGTGTAGACACATAGAGCCAGGTCATCTCAAGGTGTGGACACATAGAGCCAGGTCATATCAAGGTGTGGACACATAGAGCCAGGTCACCTCAAGGTGTAGACACATAGGACCACGTCACCTCAAGGTGTAGACACATAGGACCACGTCACCTCAACGTGTGGACACATAGGGCCAGGTCATCACATGGCGTGCACACATAGGGCCAGGTCATCACACTATCCACTGGGCCGCGGAGCACTGGCATGGACACAAGGACCAGGTGTACTCATGGTCCGTAAATGTCAAAGGACATATTTGAGCAGGTCAGGTCGAGCCTTCTCACTATATATTGTGGAGATGTGTCCTTTAGTAGGGAACTAGAGGTGGTGATATATCGTGGCTGTGGACAGGCAGCCCAGGCCGCTCCCCATGGTAGATACATCAGCACCGTGCCATGTGGCATTAAGTCAATATGTAATCTAGGGAAAGTGTAATTCAGCTTATATAACATGTAAGCGTTTGATATTACGATCAATAACCAGCCCCGATAAAATGCCCTGTGGTTACAATCCAATTGAGTAAACAATATCACAGCCAGTACTGAAAGATAACGGAATGTCTAAAACCAAAGCGTTTCTAAAAATAACATTCAACGCCATTATATACTAGTGGCTCATATTCCGTGATGGTTGATCGTTATAATACCCCCCTGACATCCAAACACGGTGTTATAAAGTGTACATATGTCATATATATCGAGGTCTACACAGCGTTGTGTCGAGGGCTGTGTATTAGACTAGAGACTGACGTACTGGTGTCTTATCCTGAAAACGTTCAGTTCAAATCTACTTTTACGATCATACCCAAGTCCATACATATTCACCAACTTATTTCCCCATGGTTGCAAGACAACGAATCCATGGCTTAAATTGTCCCATCGAGTTCTACAGTCATATGGGGACGGTGGGGTAGCCTACTGGATAAGTGTTCTCTCGCCACGCCGGACGCGGGTGTGATTCCCCACATGGGTACAATGTGTGAAGCCCATTTTCTGGTGCCCCACGCCGTGATATTGCTGTGATATTGCAAACAGCGGCGTAAAACCATACTCACTCAAGCGTATAAATATACAGCAGAGGGGGACCAAGAGTACGGGGACTGTTCACTACCCAATACACGAAGAATAAAAACACATAATAGACGGACTGACACGTAGAGTGTCTGAAAGAACGGGGGGATATCAGCTGGTGAATAGACTTATGGTCATGTAGTCTATTTCGATGTAATGTCGCGTTGTTTACAATCAGAACTATTTAGTTACATAGAGGTGTCAAAAACTGTCATCTTTGCATAAAAAAAGCAATCCAATTAGTGTAACATAACTAATATATGTTATTTTATATATTTATATACATGTAATATGTGTGTGTGTGTGTATGTGTGCGAGAGCGTGCGTGCATGTGTGCGAGCGCGCACATCGGACTTATGCGTACAACGATTGTCTATACATAGGCCGGGATTCATATCTCGTGGAGTATTGATGACGTCACTCGGGTTATTTCACATTGTAGGAGTAAAACCCATTCAAGCATTAAATGCTTCTTACTAGGTGTACATACTGTATACGTATCATACCGACCATAGCATTCATATGAACGTGACATGTTACACAGAACGTCTTTAACACATCTAGGGTTAACGGCTCCGTGACAATCGGCTTTCTGCTGACCTATCGGTATTTACAAACACGGCACACATCGGTAGAAAATGGCGGTGTGAACCGAAAACTGCAACTTGCCTGATCCGACGAACTGTTGCTCGTTGTCTTAATTCCTGTCTTCGTGCCACCGAGAAGCAAAGACTGGTGTGTTATCCAAATAAGGGAGTTGCTCCACAGGTCCCTATACTGGCGACGAACAGCCCTATTTTGCTGAAATGCTCGTCGTCTTCTTGGAAATAGAAAGTAAAAGCTGAATCAATTTGTCGTCAGCTGGTGTCCGACGGCGCTCTGGGAGGCGTAAATTTCAAATAATCATTGGCCAGCTAATACATACTTGTATATGTACTAGCTTTCAATCCATAACTTGGCAATGTCAGCAAAAAGTTGCTATGGATCCACGTCCCTCAAAGGCTTGGGGATGAATGTGTGCCTAGGACATCTCAGATACGAAGATAACAGCGTTGTTTAAAGTCACATGCACGGTTATATTACATAAAGGAGGGAAATCGTTTTATTCGTGAATAGGCGAGAAAAAATTGATTATTATGAAAATTTAATCCTAAAGAAACTATCACTGATAACAGTTAACCTCCCGTTTAGTAGAATACTATGAAATGTAAATGACAAATTACCCCTCTTTTGTGTAGTTTATTAAAGTCAGTAGAACAGTTCCATTAGGGGTTTTCCGAATAAAACGTTACCTGCACAAAATTAGATCTGCTTTGTAAAGGTTTCTTATCTAAAGATAACACGTTCAATATTTTAACAAAATTTATGTCAATAATCGTGATCATGACACATGTGCACTTTCCTTCATGTTTAAGTACGTCCGTCATATTTCTGTTTATTTGGTGTACCATTCTTTCATTTCATCTGTCATGCGAGTACCTCTATCATGCGAATACCTCTATGGTGCGTTTCATAAGTCACAATTCATGGATAGTGTCATTCAATTATTTGTCTTATGTTGTCATACAGGTATATTCGCTATGTACGTCATATAACTGTATACGTTATCTATGTCACAGATGTGTGGTCGTTGTCTGTGTCACACACGTCTGTTCATTGTCTATGCCATACAAGCATATATATGTTTTGTGTATGTCATACAAATCTTTTCGTTATCTGTGTCATACACGTATTGTCGTCTGTGTCACAGACCTCTATTCCTGGTCTATATAACACACGTCTCTTCCCTGTCTGTGTCAAACACGTCTATTCCTTCTCTGTGTCACACACGTCTGTTCCTTGTCTGTGTCACACACGTCTATTCCCTGTCTGTGTCACACACGTCTATTCCTTGTCTGTGTCACACACGTCTATTCCTTGTCTGTGCCACACACGTCTATTCCCTGTCTGTGTCACAGACGTCTATTCCTGGTCTATGTCACACACGTCTATTCCTTGTCTGTGCCACACACGTCTATTCCCTGTCTGTGTCACAGACGTCTATTCCTGGTCTATGTTACACACGCCTATTCCTTGTCTGTGTCACAGACGTCTATTCCTGGTCTATGTTACACACGCCTATTCCTTGTCTGTGTCACAGACGTCTATTCCTGGTCTATGTTACACACGTCTATTCCCTGTCTGTGTCACAGACGTCTATTCCTGGTCTATGTCACACACGTCTATTCCTTGTCTGTGCCACACACGTCTATTCCCTGTCTGTGTCACAGACGTCTATTCCTGGTCTATTGTTACACACGCCTATTCCTGGTCTGTGTCACACACGTCTGTTCCTTATTTGTGTCACACACGTCAATTACCTGTCTGTGTCACGCACGTCTTTTCCTTGTCTGTGTCACACACGCCTATTCCGTGTCTGTGTAACACACGCCTATTCCTTGTCTGTGTCACACACGTCTATTCAGTGTCTGTGTCACACACGTCTGTTCCTTGTCTGTGTCACACACGCCTATTCCTTGTCTGTGACACACGCCTATTCCCTGTCTGTGTCACACACGTCTGTTCCTTGTCTGTGTCACACACGCCTATTCCTTGTCTGTGTCACACACGCCTATTCCCTGTCTGTGTCACACACGCCTATTCCTTGTCTGTGTCACACACGCCTATTCCCTGTCTGTGTCACACACGCCTATTCCCTGTCTGTGTCACACACGCCTATTCCCTGTCTGTGTCACACACGTCTATTCCCTGTCTGTGTCACACACGTCTGTTCCTTGTCTGTGTCACACACGCCTATTCCCTGTCTGTGTCACACACGTCTGTTCCTTGTCTGTGTCACACACGTCTGTGTCTGTGTGTGATGACAGTGTGTGTGTATACTTTGTCTGTGTGTGGTTATAGCGTCTGTGTGATGACAGTGTGTGTGCATACTTTGTCTGTGTGTGGTTATATCGTCTGTGTGTGATGACAGTGTGTGTGTATACTTTGTCTGTGTGCGGTTATAGTGTCTGTGTGTGATGACAGTGTGTGTGTATACTTTGTCTGTGTGTGGTTATATCGTCTGTGTGTGATGACAGTGTGTGTGCATACTTTGTCTGTGTGTGGTTATATCGTCTGTGTGTGATGACAGTGTGTGTGTATACTTTGTCTGTGTGTGGTTATAGCGTCTGTGTGTGATGACAGTGTGTGTGTATACTTTGTCTGTGTGCGGTTATATCGTCTGTGTGATGACAGTGTGTGTGCATACTTTGTCTGTGTGTGGTTATATCGTCTGTGTGTGATGACAGTGTGTGTGTATACTTTGTCTGTGTGCGGTTATAGTGTCTGTGTGTGATGACAGTGTGTGTGTATACTTTGTCTGTGTGCGGTTATAGTGTCTGTGCGTGGTGGCAGTGTCTCTTTAAGGGTAGCTGTGAGATAAGAGTAATCATTACTTGTACAGAGTCAAAGGTCATAGTGCAGTTGTGTCATACATCACCAGGCAAAAGGTGCATGCGTGCATCAACCACCGAAGGCCTCAGCATTGTGACAACGGAATCACAACAACTGCATCTCTTCAGCAGAAGTGTCAACACTGATGTCCGCATGTTGTCTGTCAGTGTGGAGCGGTGACGGGTGTGGAAACCAGAGCGGTGCCGGTGGCAGGTCAGGTATCTGACCCAGCAGGCGATGTACCACTGTCATAATGACACATCCTTAACGCCCAGACACAATATACCCGTAACACCAGACATGACACACCCTTAATACCAGACACAATATACCCGTAACACCAGACATGACACACCCTTAACACCAGACATGACACACCCTTAACACCCAGACACAATATACCCGTAACACCAGACATGACACACCCTTAACACCAGACATGACACACCCTTAACACCCAGACACAATATACCCGTAACACCAGACATGACACACCCTTAACACCCAGACACAATATACCCGTAACACCAGACATGACACACCCTTAATACCAGACACAATATACCCGTAACACCAGACATGACACACCCTTAACACCAGACATGACACACCCTTAACACCCAGACACAATATACCCGTAACACCAGACATGACACACCCTTAACACCCAGACACAATATACCCGTAACACCAGACATGACACACCCTTAACACCCAGACACAATATACCCGTAACACCAGACATGACACACCCTTAATACCAGACACAATATACCCGTAACACCAGACATGACACACCCTTAATACCAGACACAATATACCCGTAACACCAGACATGACACCCCCTTAATACCAGACACAATATACCCGTAACACCAGACATGACACACCCTTAATACCAGACACAATATACCCGTAACACCAGACATGACACACCCTTAACACCAGACATGACACACCCTTAACACCCAGACACAATATACCCGTAACACCAGACATGACACACCCTTAACACCCAGACACAATATACCCGTAACACCAGACATGACACACCCTTAACACCCAGACACAATATACCCGTAACACCAGACATGACACACCCTTAACACCCAGACACAATATACCCGTAACACCAAGACACAATATACCCGTAACACCAGACATGACACACCCTTAACACCCAGACACAATATACCCGTAACACCAGACATGACACACCCTTAACACCCAGACACAATATACCCGTAACACCAGACATGACACACCCTTAACACCCAGACACAATATACCCGTAACACCAGATATGACACACCCTTAACACCCAGACACAATATACCCGTAACACCAGACATGACACACCCTTAACACCCAGACACAATATACCCGTAACACCAGACATGACACACCCTTAACACCCAGACACAATATACCCGTAACACCAGATATGACACACCCTTAACACCCAGACACAATATACCCGTAACACCAGACATGACACACCCTTAACACCCAGACACAATATACCCGTAACACCAGACATGACACACCCTTAATACCAGATATTATACACCCTTGATACCGGACGATGTACTGGTATGTGTTTACTATGTGTGTCTGTCCCGCTGCCAGAGTACACCCCAGTAAACAGTAAACGCCCCAGCTCACAGATACTGTATCGTCCAGATCCCCCTGCAATGTTGGGACAGTCGTGTGTATCTAGAAGGGTTATAAGTTCAGTGCGTTAATGCGATCAATTATCAAACGTTTCTTTTTCATCTTGAAAAGACATAAACCTGAATAGCGTATCACTCTGCTGTATTCCCACTGTTGTAGGACAAATAACAAGCAAATTCAAACATTATCTTCATTGCCAGGGCCTGTGCGCATTGCTCGGATTGTTTAAGTTAAGAGTATTAGTTCAAGCGAATGCAATAGGCGTTCTGTGAGTGTGGGTGTTGTACTATTCCGGATCTAATCTAGATTACACGTGAGAACGGACAAGCTGCAGGTATGTAAAAACTATACTAACAAATACAATATGTGTGGGAGTAAGCCTTGACCTACAAACCTAGTAACATGCAAAGTATGAAACCCAACGCATAACAAGTTTGTTTGTTGTTTAACCCCGCACCCAGCTATATTCAAGCTACATGAGGGCGGTCTGTAAATAATCGAGTCTATATCAGACAATCCACTGATTGATATCATGAGCATCGATCCACGCAACTGGGATACGATGACATGCATCAACCAAGTCAGCGAGACGGATCCCCCGATTCCGCCTATCACCCCCTCGCCTCTTGCGGCAAGCATGGGTTGCTGAAGACCTATTCTAACCCGGGACCCTAATGCATAACGCCATATGATAACACGAACAGAACAAGACACACGGTATGGCAATGTGGCAATGCGGACAGATGTTTGGGGGGTGGGGGTGGGACAGATGTTTTGGGTGTGTGGGTGTGTATGTTGGTGGTGGGGGGGGGGGGGGGTGTTGGCAATTATTAAGAAACGTTGTTGCAATAATTCATGATTGAAACTACAGATATCCCTTGCTGATGATGGACCCCCACTCAAAACCACAAATACGCCGAGCTGTT